TGTGTATGTATATATGTATGTATGTATCTATGTGTGTGTATATGTGTGTGTGTGTGTGTGTGTGTGTGTATGTATGTATGTGTGTGTGTGTGTATATATATATATATATATATAAATTTAAACATGTGTATTAATAGAAGAATTATATGGATTGAAGAACTGGAAAGAATATGAATTGAAGTACCTTAAATGTATACATGATTGTGATTGATACTAAAACTATATAAGGAGATATTGAATAAATGAAGAATGAAGGATGGACCTTTGATTTAATTAAGGAAATATGAACAACAAAATAGGTGGTAAACATGTCTTTGAATATTATAGTGATATGAAAGGGGGGGGGTTAAAGGGGATAGAAAATAGTGGGGAATAATAATTATATATTAATATGTTAAGATATACAAAAGTACAGAAAGATGGTTCAGAAATGAAAGGTGATAATAAAAGGCATGTATAAACGTTATGAAATAATGGAAATGAAATGTAATATTTAGGAATAATAAGACTATATGAAATGTATGTTACCCAGTTACCACACCATTCATGCACTGATATATAGAGAGATTATAAAAAATAAAAATTTGATTGGGAAAAAAAATTGTCTTTAGATAATTAAAATGAATATTAGCTGAGATAATTTTATTGATTATATTGCTCACTCAGTGAACTTTTGGCTATTGTTATACTGTTTTATCTTTTATTGTAAACAGACTCAGGAACTACAGGAAGTCCTTGACTTGCAACAGCTCATTTAGTGACCGTTCAAAGTTACAACAGCACTGAAAAATGACGTACAGCACTTATGACTGTTGCAGTATCCGCATTGTCATGTGATCAAAATTCAGATACTTGGCAACTGTCTCATATTTATGACAGTTGCGGTCAACTGGGAAACCAGATTCACTTAACAACTCTGGCAAGGAAGGTCGTAAAATGGGGAAAATTTCACTTAATTGTTTTACTTAGCAACATAAATTTTGGGGTCAATTGTGGTCATAAGTTGTGGACTACCTGTGTTTCTTTTTTCTGGTTGAAAAGTGGTTTTATACTTTACATTTATGAGAGTAATAATTAAATTTATATGCTGCCTGACTCCCAGCAATTCTGGGTCACTTTACAAAGATTCTATTTTGAAAAGGCAATCTATTGAGAATGCTGTGGTGTTACTAAATGAACTGTTGTAAGTCAAGGACTAGTTGCATTTGGTTGTTCCTTTTTATCTCTTATTCTAGATATGGTTCTTGCTGGAAGCTAGTACTAGTATCTTTGAGTCCAAAATTTCTGTTGCTAAGTGAGACATTTATTAAGAGAGTTTAGCCCTATTTTACAACCTTTCTTGCCACAGTTGTTAAGTGAATCACTGCAGCTGTTAAATTAGTAATATGGTTGTTAAGTGAATCTGACTGCCCCATTGACTTTGCTTGTGAGAATGCGGCAAAAGGTGATCACATGACCCCAAGATACTGCAACCGTCATAAATATGAGTCAGTTGCCAGGTGACTGAATTTTGATCACATGACCATGGAGATGCTGCAATGGTTGTGTGTGGAAAAATGGTCATTATTTTCAGTGTAACTTTGAATGGTCACTAAATGAACTGTTGTAAGTTGAGGACTACCTATATATTTTAAATTGTTTAAATTGTGATTTTTAAAAAATTGTTGTGAGCCGCCCAGTGTTACTTTTGCAAGAGGGGAGGCTATATAATGTATTTTTCAGAGTATAAAATGCATCAAGATTTTGAAGAGGCAAATTTTAAAAAAAAGTTTTTGCAAACCTCCCAAAAATGACCTGTTTTTCGCAAAAACGGGCCCAATTTTTGGCAAAAAAATGGGGGCATGTCTAGCCTTTAAGAGGCT